CTTCCTTCCGAGGAGTGGCTGGTGGGTTTGAACCGCCAGCCTTCTGGTGAGCAGTCAAGTGCCTTAGGCACTATGCTACCAGAGCTCTTTCTTCGTCCACTTTAACTGTTATATTAATCAGGTTTTGCTGTGTAGCAGACACCTCAACATCCCTGTGGTTTACAACAACAAACATAGGTCAGCTGATCGGCTGTACTTCAGCTGGTCTAGCCAGGGTTTGACTTGGCTCCCTGGAACTTGAGGTTTCTGGTGAGGACTGAATCTGCTCTTCATGTCTTAAATCTGAGTCCCATTCTGAATGGACAGGTGTTAACCTCCAGCATGAGTTTCTCATGGTGCTTCACTGATACGTTAGACATGAGCAAAGACCTCATGTTGGAGCTGAAACACTACCCCCTTTATTCACTTTGTATTGGCCAAAATAAGTCACCTTGCCAAGCTAACCATTGATGGAAAAGGATATAGTCACCATGCACTTTTGTGAGAGATACTGAAAAGTCACATGATAAAGGACATAGATACTTAATTCTAATACAAGGAAGGAGTAGAGAATTGAGAGCAGTAATTCCATCTTCTTGAATGAGTTATACCTGAAAAGTGAAAACACAGTTTAATGATATTAAAGACCCAAATTAAGGAGATCCTCCAGCTTGGCATAAATTGTAAAAGTGTCTCAGTCTGAACTGATTGGGAAAGATAAAATGCATACTGACATTACCTGCTCTCTTCAGAGCCCAGCATCTTGCATGGAGCACACATTTAATATGTGAACCAAATAGAATCCATATCGGGGGGGGCGGGGAATCTTGTTTCCTTTTAGAAGTGTAATACACTGTGTACACACACACACACAGACTCTGAGTATAGAATTATTTACTGTAGAGAATCTGAAAAATACAGAAAAAATATATAAAGAAATATCAAGATTTTGCATTTTGAATTGCACAGTGTAAGAAAGCTGTATGCATGTGTATTATAGATTGCATTTACATGATGCAATCTGTAATACACATTCCTCCAAGATGTAATGTATATTGGAATCCTAACCCCTATACCTGTGAATAAGGAGTGCTGGTGGTACAGTGGTTAAGTGCTTAGCTGCTAACTGAAAGGTCACCAGTCGAACCCATCAGCCCCTCCATGGCAAAAAGATGAAACAGTCTGCTTCTGTAAAGACTTACAGGCTTGGGAACACCATGAGGCAATTGTACTCTGTCCTAAAGGGTTGCTATGAGTTGGAAAGAACTCAGTGCAACAGGTTTGGTTTTTGGTTTTTATCATAGTAATATAAAAGGTTAATAACATTAGGAGAAATGTATTGGAAGCTCTTCTTTTCTATTGTTGTTGTTGTTGTTATGTGTTGTCGAGTCCTCACTGACTCATAGCGACCCTATGTACAACAGAACGAAACACTGCCTGGTCCTGTGCCAGCCTCATGATCCCTACTATACTTGAGCCCATCGCGGCAGCCACTGTGTCAGTCCATCTTGTTGAGGGCCTTCCCCTTTATCATTGACCCTCCACTTTACCAAGCATGACATCCTTCTCCACAGAATGGTCCCTTCTGACAACATGACTAAAGGAGGTGAGACGAAGTCTGGCCATTCTCACTTCCAAGGAGCATTCCAGCTACACTTCTTCTCCTTTTCTGTATATTTAAATTATTCCAAAATGTAAACAGCTATTTTAAAAAATGAAGCAGTGGTCTTTAAATTTCAAATTCTATTGTGTATGCTCTTCACATGTGTTCTAGAAGAGACAGTGTTGCAGTGTTTCAAAATGAGGAGACTTGGGGCAGGGGAAACAGATAGGGGAGGATACCAATTGGTGTTACAAGTTTAAAAACTTCAGAAATAGTCACATTTTTAGTGCAGAAAGCCTTCAACCTAAGGGTCACCTAATTTGAGTTGCAGTACTAACCTTTACTGGATTATGGCCTTTGGTAAAGTTATTTATCTTTTCAGAACCTGTTTCTTCATCTATAAAATGGGAATATTTGCATTTCCACCCTGTCATGTAGGATTGCTCACAGTCGACTCAACAGCATACAACAACCCGTAAAACACCATCATGAAAGTTACTGTTATTATATTGTTCTTGTATAAATAACAGACTTTGAAAAGTGAGAGTGGTAATTCTACAATGCAGGGGATGATTATTTTTCTTAGGACTCCTGGTGGCAAACTGATAGACACCCTTTCCAAAGTAACTTAAGGCAAAAAAAAAAAAAAAGCAAGATGAAGGGAATTTATTGATAAGATTCTGACAGGTCTCAGGTATCTTAAGAGAAAAACAGAACAGTTGTCATCAACTTGACTTCGTCGTGGTAACCCCATGAATGCCAGCGTAGAAAATGTGCTCCATAGAGTTTTCAGTGGCTCATTTTTCAGAACTGGATCACCAGACCTTTCTTCTGAGGTGCCTGTGGGTAGACTAACCTTCCACTTAGCAGCCTAGTGTGTTAACTATGAAATGTTTATCCCACCCAAGGACTCCATTTTAAGGAAATGTTGAACAATTTGGGCCTTAAGATGGTCAGAACCATGGTTGCTTTGGATAACACAGAAGAACCACGCATAGATCTTTACTCTGGTGTTTTGCCATGTTTGTGTCTCCCCTCCACTACCTCTTTCAGTTACAGCTGTTCAACTGCTAGCTGCCCAATAAATTGGGTTTTACAGACTATAGTTAGTTTTTGTTAGTGTCCTAGAGTTAGCAGAACAGAGTATGAAAATATGGGTAGCTTAAAATAGCAGAAATTTATATTCTACAGTTCTGGAGGCCGTAAGGCCAAAATCAAGGTGTTGGCAGAGCTGTGCTTCCTCTGAGGGATCTTGGGAAGAATTCTTCCTTGCCTCTTCTAGTTTCTGTTAACCGCTGGCAGTCTTTAGTGTCTGTGGCTTGTAGCTCTATATCACTCGAGTCTCTGCCTCCATCTTCACATGGCCTTCTTACCTATGTGCACCTCTGTGTGTCCTCTCCTCAGTCATGCAAGATTACAGCACTCTGTAATCCAGCATGAACTCATCTTAACTTGATTATATCTGCAAAGTGTCTATTTCCAAGTAAGGTCTCATTCACAGGTATTGAGGGTTAGGATTTAAACACATCTTTTTGGAGGACACAGTTCAACCCACTACACAGGGTCATGTGACCATCTGGTCCAGTGGTTGGGGAAGGAATACAACACAAACATCTCACATGAAGTACTCCATGACCTGTCCCCTCACTGACCTCTTCTCCTAACACAATCTTTTTCTGTGAAAGTGAAAAACTATGTTTTTCACTTAATTCATGCTACTTTTTCTGTGCCTCTGGTTAGAATTTATTCTCACCTCATCTTTTTACCCCTCCACATATAAATTCCTTTCCCTGGCTAATTCCTACTCTGTCTTTAAGGCTTGATTCATCTCTTACAATTAATGTTTGTTGAATGAATGAATGAATTCTAGATAAAGGGTATGGCATAAGCTATAACAGAAAGGAAGAAAAGTAACAGGACACATTATGTTTGCCTGACGCATAGCCAGTTGCCATGGAGTCAGCTCTGAGGCATGGAGACACCATGGGTGTCAGAGTCGAACTGTGCTCTGGGGAGATTTCACTGGATGATTTTTCAGAAGTGGATCACCAGGACTTTCTGCTGAGGCACCTCTGGCTGGACTCGAACCTCTAGTAGCTGGTTTTTCAGCAGTAGATTACCAGGCCTTTTTAATGAGGAGCCTCTGGGTGGATTTGGATTTCTAACCTTTCAATTAGCAGTTCAACACATTAACTATTTGTACCACCCAGGGGCTCCTGGAGCATAGGCCCTGACTAAGGGTGTAGAGAAAGGGAGAGCGTGCATTGGAGAAGATGCTGTACACTCCCTGAAAGCAGGAACACATGTTATTCCTATTTGTATCCCCTAACATAATGCTTTACATGTTGTTGGCACTTAGTACATTTGTGATGCAACTGTTAGCCTACAGAAGGAGATGGACATTCATAGAGTAACTTCCTTACACTAGAACAGGTATTCCACAGAAAAGTTTGATCAATAAAAGTGTGGGATTTTTTTTTCTCTTTTTAAACTTTAATGGATTGTGTTTGCTCTCAATCCAGAATTGATTTGTTCTCAGATGAATTCCTCATCTTTTTCCTATTCTGCTTTTATTGTCGGGAACTTCTTCCCCTTGTAGGCTGATTTTCCCAGGTTTCTGTGGCATTTGGCTTTTGGCTGGGTTGGCCCAAGGGAGGCTATGGTGATTGGTTGCATTTATGTGGCCTTTCTAGCCATGGTCTTGTAATGACCACCAAATGATTGGGTGGAACTATGCAAATAAGGTGCATGGAACTCTCATCGGGTTGTTGTTGTTGTTGTTGTTATGTGCCATCGAGTCAGACCCGATTCATAGTGACCTCTCCTTGGGTTTCCAAGGCAGCATCACTATGGAAGTAAATTGCCCTATCTTCCTTCCGAGGAGTGGCTGGTGGGTTAGGACAATGCAAATAAGGTATATGGAATCCTAACAATGGGATTGGTCAGTTTTGCCATCCCACTAGGCTTAACATGAGCCATCCTGGGGGTGGAAAAGGGAAGACCTCACAACAACCAAGAAGAGCCAGGAGCAGAGCATATCCTTTGGACTTGGGATCCCCATTCTGAGAACCTCCTAGCTGAGCAGACAGAAAGAGTTGTAACATCAGAGATGGCAAGAGACAGCAAGAAGCGGCAGCAGCAGAGACAGCAGAACTGGAAAGCTGACAAAGCACTGGGCTACCTGGTCCACAGAGTGAGAAAGCTAAGGGCCTTCAGGCAGGAGACTTGCTGGCAGAGTGGAGTGCCTCTGGACACTTATTGCAGAATTAAAGAGCTTTGTAACATATGTCCCAGCAGAGCAGAGGACAAGGGGCCACAAAGCTGAGAGGCCAAGGGCCAGAGGAAAGTTGTGCCTGTGGGCACAACTGAGGAAAACTATCCTGACCAAAGTTGTTTCTGATCCCGATTTGTAACCTCTTACTTTCCTAATAAACCTGATAATTTGGAGTATTGTTTATGAGTTGTGTGGTCATTGCAATGAATTATCAAACCCAGATGAAAAGTAGTGTGCTATGGGAGGGATGGTTGGTGTCAGTATGGGTGAAAACAGAGGGTAGAAGCATGTCTGAACTTAACTTCATAGGAATCAGCCTTGGGCTGTTAATCTTGATTCTTCTTCTCCCTTGTGAAGTTAGAGGAGGTCAGATACCCCCCATGGTATTTTTACAGAGGTGCTAGAGGGGAATAGAAGGAAGAAATCAGAGAGAAGCTCCATCTGCATCCAGCAACATCTCCAATAGTGGCCTGTGTCCTCCAGTTTCCATCTCCCACCAGGATGGCCCACCTGGAGGGTTCTAGCTTCCACCAGGTTACTCCAGCCCTTGAGATCCAGTGACACCAAACCTAAATCAAACCCACTACTTGTCAAGGCAATTCTAACTCATAATGACCCTATAGGACACAATAGAACTGCCCCATAGGGTTTCCAAGGCTGTAAATCTTTACAGAAGCAGACTACCACTTTTTTCTCCCATGGAGTGGCTGGTGGGTTTGAACCACTGACCTTTCAGTTAGCACTGAGTGCTTTAAGCATTGCATCACAGGACTCCTTCCAGTGATACCACCCTCTCCTTTGTGCCTCTGGCTGAGGGATGGGCAGAGGCTCCTGGCTCTTGCTAATTAGTGCCTTGGCTCCTCACTTCACCGTTTGCTTCTCAGCTTTTCCCTTCCTTTGTACATCTAATTCCCTGAATTAAATTCCTTCTGTTCAAAATACACAAATGGTTTTGTATGCTGGTTAGAGGCTGACTGGTTTGGTTTGACAAAGAACTAGAAAGACTAGAACTGTTCATCCATTTGTAACCACTAAGGAATTGCCTAATGGAATTATTAGTGATATCCTAGGCTAAAATAATTTTCCCTCCAGTTCTAAAACTTGTTTCTTTATCTTGCAAGTCTTCAGAGGCATTGCATGTCTTCATTGTGGTCACTGGGGTTCTTGTGTTGTGTGAGTATTCTCAAAGGCTAATCATGTGCAGAAACTAATGTTAGTTCTAAGATGGTGTATACCTTAGTCTCGAATTAATTGGCTTTTGGTACACCTTAATATAATATAAGATGACTTTGTTAATGCTTTACGAAAAGCAGCTCCATGCTCCTTAATTCTGGGGATGCTGAAAGTTTGTTTTTAGTGAAAGAAGCAACTACCAGGGCTTGGTTGTTGTATTCTACAGACTGTCTGGTATGAAGGAAACCACAATACCATTTAAGAGTCCATTGCCCATAGGGAAGAGGTGACTGTCAGGAGGAAGTGGGAGGGGAGCTGTTGCATTGTGGTGAATTGTGGTCAATGTCATGAGACGAAGTGTATGTGAACTGCTGTATGCAAAGTGAATATGCTCTGTAAATTTTCACCCAAATCACAATAAAAAATTAATAAAAAAAAAAGTCATTGCCCAATCTGATCTGACCAGAGACATCTCAAAATATCATCACAAAGCATTTTCCTGATTACAAATTTTAATTATACCAACATGTTTTCAATCATTTGAATAAAGAAAATTCCAGAACACATAGAAATTTTAAGAGCTACATCTGATAGTTGTTCATTAAGACCTGAAATAAAACTTAAGAGCAAATCTAAAAGCTACCCTTTATGTTGAAGAATTTCATTCTAGTTGGTATAACTTGAATAACATTTTGAATTATTTAACACCCTCTTGTCTCATAGAGGGAGGAATGTTTTCAATGTTCCGTCCTAACTCTAACCGTACTGATATTTTTTGTTTGTTTGTTTCTTAGGTTCTGTGTACCATTTCGATAAGTCAACTTCATCTTGCATTTCTACCAATGCTCTTCTTCCAGATCCTTATGAATCAGAGAGGTATTTTTATCTCTTGTGGTTTTAATTACACTGTTAATCTGAGGTTAAATAACCATGGTGGAGGCAACCTTTGTGGCTTTTTGCTCAGGCCAGAGTCATGGTCAAACGAAGCTCTTCATTGAAATATCCTTTTTCTCTGAGAATCCTCCAAATCAATATTCATATATTCTGAAGAAGAATGTACTATTCTCTCTGTGCTAGGGGAAAAAGGACCCTAGATTCAAACATATTCAATAACAACCCTTTTATTAAGCCTTAAACGAGACAAAGACAAAGCAAATATAATCATCCAGATGAGGGGAACCAGCATTCACACAGTAGAGGCCAAGGAGTCCACCAACTCACAGTCATGGAGTTCATTATATATGCTAGAGAACAAAGGAAATCATTACAAGATCATGATTGGTGGCAAGTCAATCCATCACTGTCACAGTCCCTGCAAGATTACAAAAATGGGGAAAGGACAATGATTGGGATACATATGTAATTGCAGATTTAAAAAGGTTAGATTGGTTCTGGGGTGTCTACGTGGTGGTCAGGGTATGACTCATGATCATGATGCCCTGAGTCATAGTTACTGGGATGCCAACTTTCTATTTAAATTAAATACCAATCCTAACCCAGTGCCATTGAGTCAATTCTGACTCTTAGTGAGTACTGTTGTGTTGTCAAGGCTTTAAATCTTTATGGAAGCAGATTGCCTCATCTTTCTTCCGCAGTGTGGCTTAGTGGGTTCAAACCACCAACCTTTTGGTTAGCAGCCAAATGCCTTAACCACTATACTACCAAAAAACCAAACCCAAACTCACTGCCATCAAGTTGATTACTATTCATAGTGACCCCCTTTGGGTTTCCAAGGCAGTAAATCTTTGTGGAAGTAGATTGCCTAGTCTTCCTTCCACGGAGTGGTTGATGGGTTTGAACTGCCAATCTTCTGGTTAGCAGTCAAATGCTGAAGGCATTACGCCACCAGAGCTCCTTTTGTATTAGCAAAGCTCCTTTAAATTAGATAACATGTGGCTAAAACTCACTGCCCTTGAGTCAGATCCGATTCATAGCAACTCCTCCTTGGGTTTCTGAAGTAAATCACTAAGGATACACCCAGGCAAGTTACCTATTTCTTTTTATAACCACCCCTCCTTGGCCTTGCCTTGACTTGTCTAAGTATAACCACATTACTGGTTCATTGGTCAGCAGGCAATGTGAAAATAACATAAAGAACTGAAATGGTAACTGAACTCATGTCAAGACTCAAAATGGAGTCAGCAAGACCGCAGCTTTCCACAAAGTACTTTAGAGTTTAAGCTGTAATGCTTAATATAGAATTTGTCCCTGTGAGGAAAGTTTCTCCATCTATTAGCATACATCAGCCCATGTGCCCATCCCTGACTGAAAACCCTGTAGAAAGAGTTTTTGGGCCAAGCAACCAACTATGCCTGCTTAAGTGTCCCCTTTCTTGGGACCCAAGTACCACAATTTGTATGGAAGCCACATGCTGGCCTGAAGGGGTGCATTTCATACTCCTATTCCTAGGCATAGACCAGAACACTTATTTTTTATTTATTTAAATTGTGGTAAATATATAAGTAACGAAACATTTGCCATTTCTATAGTCTTCACATGTAAAATTCAGTGACATTAAATATGTTCTTCATGTTTTTCAAACATCACCAGTAACTGTTCCTGAATTCCAATTTCTGATTCTATAAGCTCACTCACAAAGTATCAAATCATATCCTATTTCATCTCTATTCTGTGAGGATAGCTAAATTCTGGTCCTGGATTCTTAGTGTGCATTTCTTTGGTACTTTCCCTGGGAATCTTAACTCCCTAGCAACTGGCCTGTTTATGAATAAGGGTGTCATCCTGACTTGGTTTTCTCTTTGCCTCACTCTTTAGCTCTGGTAGCATAGTGCCTAAGGCATTTGACTGCTAACCAGAAAGGCTGGCAGTTCAAACTCACCAGCCACTCCTTGGAAGGAAGATTGGGTGATCTACTTCCATAGTGATACCGCCTCAGAAATCCAAGGAGGGGTCGCTGTGAGTTGGTTCTGACTTGATGGTAGTGAGGGTTTTTTCCCCCTCACTCTTTGTAAGCATGGCTTATCTCCCACTCAGTTTCCGCTCCATCTGAAAAACAGGCCTCTTTCCCCAGATCGTGGTGTTTGACACAATGAACAGCCTCTTTCTTGACAAAAAGCTGAGGCCTATTTACAAAAGGGTTTGGTCTCTTGTTTTCCCCAAACACAATCGCATCATACCCTATGAATTAGTCTTTGTGATGTTGTGATTCTGCTGCATAATAATACCCTCAAAACCACAAAAGCAAAAACATTTTCTTTCACACTCCTGTTTCTGTAGGTTGGCTGAGGCTTGGCCATTTTGGCTAGGCTCAGCTGGACTAGGCTGGACTCTAGGTTTCAAGATGGGTTCAGGTCTGTATTATACATGGAGCTCTGGTGGCGTAGTGGGTAAGACATTTTGCTGCTAACCAGAAGGTTGGCGGTTCAAACCCACCAGCTGCTCCACAGGAGGAAGATGAGGCAGTCTCCTTCTGTAAAAGATTTACAGCCTTGGAAATCCAATGGGGGTTGCTATGAGTCAGCATTGACTCAATGGCAGTGGGTTTGGTTTTTGGTTTTCCTTGTAAGAAGCCTAAAGGAGCAATAGCTTCCTGGGCATCTTCTCATGGAGATGAATAGAAACTCTGAAGAAGACTGGCAGGAACTTACCATGCTTAACATTTGAAACCTAGCATACAGACATTTCTGCTCATATTCCATTAGCAAAGCAGATCATATGCCCAAGTCCAAAGTCAGTAGAAAAAGGATGTATCTTCCACCCACTCTAAGAGGAAGTACCATAAAGTCACATGCAAAGTGGCAAGATGTATAATTCTATCAGAATGAGGATAGCTTGAAAACTATACATCTACCAATCTACAACATAAGCATAAGATCCATATAAAGAAATTGCTGATGTCCAGTTTCAGATGTGCCCACAGAAATGAAATTATTGTTGATGAAGTATCTATTCTCATATTAAATCTAGTTCCATAATCACCAGTGCTTCTTTCTCTTCTTATAAACCAGTGGTTGGCAAAATTTTTCCAAATGGGCCAGAGAGTAAATATTTTAGTCTTTACAAGCCATATGGTCTCTGTTGCAAGTACTCAATGTTGTAGTGGGAAAACATTCTTAGACAATATTTTCCAAAAATGGGCAGCAGGAAGATTTGGCCCTTGAGCAAAAGTTAGCCGACCTCTGTTGTAAACTCTTTTCTTGGGAAGTGCTTATAATTGGATATATTTTATTAACTCTGCTTGTTACTCTTTCATGTAAAGGATTCATCTTGGGGCTTAACTAAAATAATGTTCCATTCTTTAAGCATTGACAAACATAGGTACTGTTTTAATTACCCTTGGAAAGTGTTTTTGTTGTCCCTGCTGGACTAGAAATTATCATCTACTAAAAATATAAAATTTTACTAGAAGAACCCTTATAGCAAGATATAGCTTTATAATATATGGTAGCAATAATCCTCTTATTATAGCAAGTAAATTTTAAATACCACTGCTAAAAGAGACATACTACTCTTTCTTTAATTTGCAGCACCAAAAGATTTTTCTTTGCCAACTGCTGCCAACATTTTCCCTCCTCTCTTCCTGTCTCATTATTGTCAACTGACATTTTGAATTCAGTAGCCATAATAATATTTTAGGGGTTGATTTAGGAAATAGCATGTCAAAATTTATTAAAAAGTCATTGTTGTACTTTTCTTTTCTATTTAGGGTTTATGTTGCTGAATCTCTAATTTCCAGTGCTGGAGAAGGACTGTTTTCAAAGGTAGCTGTGGGACCTAATACTGTTATGTCTTTTTATAATGGGGTCCGAATTACACACCAAGAGGTGAGTGGGATAGAAATGGACAACTAACTTGATTGGTTAAAGGGCTTTGTTTCAGACACCCTTGATTTTCTCATTAGTCCTTTGCTTTAAAATTTATAAGAATTATGGAGGAACAACTATATTGGCTTTTTGTAAAATTGATTAAATTATTTCCTCCTCTTTATTTTGAGCCTTAATATGATTTTTTTTTTAAGTTTTACAACTATTTTAGAGAAAGTAGGATGGTGTCATCAATGAGACAGTAATTCATTGCACACAATATCTGAAGATTTGAGATCCAGTTGGACTTTAAGTAATTAATGTTTGATTTTGGGTAGGGTGCTTTGTAGGAAGGCCCCTATTTTTGTTTGTGCAAAAATCATTGCACTGATAAAGGAACAAGATGGGAAAATCCCACCGTTATTGCTAACTGCCTGGTAAGGATCAGCATGGATCCAATTCCCACCTGGAAATATGTTCAGTCTTTGCCTTTCCACATCTCTGTCAACCCCATCACCAGCCAATCACATGGCACTCTCTCTCTCTCTTTCTCTCTGATCCTAACACCTAGAGTTAGGTCAGACCTTGCAGGTTAGAAGGACTCTGGCCTTCTCATTGGCCACCTGTACAGCTATTCTCTGTCCCCTGCCACCCAGAGCTAAGTCTCACTAGTTAGGCCAACCTCTGCTGGCTCACTGCCCTTTGTTGTCTTGCTAATTCTCTAGAATGGCTCACAGAACTCATACATTACCATACTAAAAGAAAAACCAAACTCACTGCCATGGAGTGACATGAAACCCTTTGAGTTTCAAGGTGGTAAATCTTTACGGAAATAGATGTCCAGTCTTTCTTCTGTGGAGTGGCTGGTGGCTTTGAACCACCAACCTTCTGGTTAGCAATCAGTTGCCTTAGGCATTACACCACCAGCGCCCTTTACTGCTACCCATTTATTATAACCAAAAAGGATACAAATGAAGAGATGCCTCAGGCAAGGTTTGGTAGGGGTGCCTGCATGAAGCCTCCATTATCCCTCTTACATACATTGATGTTCTGGCTAATACAAGAAGCCCATCGAACTTCCAAGTTTAGGGCTTTCATTGCCTTTATTATTGCATAGTCATGACTAGGACCTCATTGCATAGTCATGGCTGATTGAAACACTGAATTTGCATGATTGAATTATGCCCCTTTCTCTTCCTGAGGTTGATTGCCCAGTGAGCTCTGTGGAGTCCCCACTCACCTGCACACATTCTCAGGGGCTGTCCACAGATTTTACGTAATAAAGGCACCTCAATTGCTAGGGAAATCCAAGAGCTGTTTTCAGGAAACCAAAGACAAAGGCCAAATCTAGTATCACAGTCATACGACAGCCTCTTGTGAAGAAGAGTTCCATTTCCAAATAAAATAAAAAGCTAAAGAGTTGTGTCAAAAAGCAAACTGGAATTTCTGTTAAAATTAAAGCAGAGTTTTTATTGAAGGCATAGTACAATCTAGATTGGGCAGTGCTTCCTGAGGATTCATGACAGTATTCCCACGAGAGGAAATGTTCACAGACTTTAAATACAGAAAATCCAGGAACTTACAAGGAAAAAATTCTGAGTGATTGGCATTTACAAAACCATGCTTTAACAAACACTAGCCAAGGCAAGATCCATTAAACATTGTTTTACTAATCATAAAAGTTTGAGTTATTTAACAACTTTTGATGTATGGATCTTTCAAAAACCAGCCTATGTGTGTGTTCTTCCTGGGAGCAAGCTGTGAGAGGAAGGGGGAAGGAGGGGACCCTGCAAGCTTCCTGAAGTATGCTGGCTAGCTGACTTTTGAGAGCTCAGAATACATAGCAATAATGGAGTCTGGCCTGCATCTTTGGCAGAAACCTCTCGTTATGCCAAGCACCTCACTCATTTGAAATCTTTCACAATTAAATCAACTCTTGCCTTTAAGATACCATCTTTGATATATTTCCAAGATTTTATATAGGTTTTTGTTTTTGATCCTTCATTTCACAATTAATTTCTCTAAGTGTCTGCTTTGAGAGCTCTGGTAGCATAGTGCCTACGGCATTTGACTAACCAGAAGGCTGGCGGTTCAAACCCATCAGCCACTCCTAAGATGGAAGGTTGGGCAATCTACTTCCGTAGTGATACTGCCTCAGAAACCCAAGGAGGGGTCACTATGAGTCAGGTCCGACTCGATGGTGCACAACAACAACAACAACAACAAATGTCTGCTTAAGGGCAAAGGTTTGATACTTTTAGCTCAGAGAGTGATTTTCATCTTGGTCTCACTTGTATTAAATATCCGGGACTTAAGTTTGTTGCTCAGAAGGAAGACCGGGCAATCCACTTCTGTAGAAATACCGTCTCGGAAACTCAAGGTTTTTGGTTTTTTGGTAAGTTTATCGCTAATATCCCACATTCTTGTTTTTACTTTTTCGCTTATTTCTGTGAAACGATAAGTAAGGTTATTTCATATTCAAAGAAGATGTTCAAGCAAAAGATGGCAGTATACTCACACTGAGCTGTGGTCTGGCAGACAGTGGCCCCACATGATGGCCCTGGACTTCTCTGTCAGCAATATATGAATGTCCAAGAAATTCAGCATATGAAAGGTAGCTTCAGTATATTGATATATAATTTATTCATTCAACCAACATTTTGCAGATGAGGAAACTGAATCCCAGAGAGGTTAATCAACATTCGCAAGGTCACAAAGCTAGTAAGTAGCAAAGTTCAAGTTAGAATTTCAAATAGCAGAATCTGACTCTGCTGAAATCCACCCTGCTGAGCTCTGGTGGCATAGCGCCTAAACATTATTTTACTAATCATGAAGTTTGACTGCTAACCAGAACGCTGGTAGTTGAAACTAACCAGCCACTCCTCGGAAGGAAGACTGGGCAATCTATGTCCGTAGAGATACTGCCTCAGAAACCCAAGGAGGGGTCACTATGAGTAGGAACCGACTCGATGGCAGTGAGTTTGGATTTTTAGTTTTGTACTGTGTAAATGACTGAGATACTATCCTTGTCCTCGTGAAATTTAGAGTTTGTTGGGGAGATTGGAGAAAAGAAAAAAAGAGAAAGCAAGCCTAACTGGTGGCAACATTGGGTAGATGATACCAAGTGTCGTGTATCAGTTTCATGTGACAGATCTGTAATATTAAAAGCCATCCTTTTTTTTTTCTTTTGGACACTTCTGTGTCCTCTGCACCTACATTAGTGCCAGCAACATGATAGGCAAATAGTAAATAGCTGTTGAATGAATATCAGCTACAAATAAAAGCATAACTATAATTTAGAAGTGAGAAAGATGGTATACATCTGAGAATCAATAGTTTTGTATGAAAATGGAATCCCATGTGCTCCAAAAGACTGTTCTGCTGGCATTCACTGATCCTGGGGTAGCTTAGTTACCTAATGTTGCTATAACAGAAATACCACAAGTGGATTTTTTTAAAAAAATAGAAATTTATTCTCTCACTATTTAGGAAGATGTTGTTGTTGTTGTTGTTATGTGCTGTCAAGTTGGATCCGACTCATAGCGACCCCTCCTTGGGTTTCTGAGGCAGTATCACTACGGAAGTAGATTGCCCCATCTTCCTTCTGAGGAGTGGCTGGTGGGTTTGAACCGCCAGCCTTCTGGTTAGCAGTCAAGTGCCTTAGGCACTACGCTACCAGAGCTCCCATTTAGGAAGACAGAAGTCCGAATTCAGAGTACCAGTTCTAGAAGGCTTTCTCTCTGTGTGTCTCCTGGTCTTAGGAGGCGCCCAGCACAGGGACCCTGGTCCAAAGGATGTGCTCCATTCCTGGTTCTTCTTTCTTGGTGGTAGTAGTTCCTTCTGCCCTCCTCCCTTCTCTTTCCTTTCATCTCTTGGAAGATAAAAGGTGTTACAGTCCACACCCCAGGGAAGCTCCCTTTACATCAGATCAGGGCTGTGACAGGACTACGGATGCGGTGGATGTGGCGTCCCACCCTTCATCTTAATCCTTTTACACCTGATCAGTTTATCACATCAGATCATGTCATGGAGTATCGTTACATATCTACCACATTACATCATTAAATAACTGCTAAACTACGGAGAATCATGGCCCAGCCAAATTTACACACATTGGGGGGAGGGGCACAAGTCAATTAATGACATGGGGTTTGCTGGTCAGGAGTGGTTTCAAGCAGGAAGCCTAATGGTTGCACTGTGGATGTTATATTTACGAAGCTCACCAGTAATTGGCAACTGGAGTCCCTGGGTGGGTACAAACAGTTAAAATGGTTGGCTACTGACTGAAAGACTACAGGTTCAAATCTGCCCATAAGTGCCTTGGAAGATAGGCCAGGTGATCTATTTCTAAAAAAATCAGCCATTGAAAACCTTACAGAGCACAGTTCTGTTCTGACACACATGAGGTCTCCTTGAGTTGGAGACAGCCTGATAGTATCTGGCCAGTTGGTGATGGCCTCTGCTGGTCAGGTAGATTGTGACTTCTCTGGAGTGTTTTCTTGCATTCCGTGTGTTTCTGGTTCTATTTATTGTTCTTGCTTTGCTTTGCTTCATCTTCCTCATTAATTTTAATTCAAGTTCTCTGATTTTGGGTTTTTTGTTATTTTTATGTGTCTTTGTAAGGGACTTTTAATCCTTTTTTTAAAAAAAAATATATATATACATAAGGGAAAACATCAGTATATACTAAGCAGAACTGCCTGATGCTGCCCAAATATGCCGATGGTACCATCAGTGTGTAGAGGGATGATGCCCTGGGCTCTTTTCACATCAAATCATGAAATTTCAGGATAAATGAGTTAATATCCTTGACATCTTTTGAGATCTTGGCAGAATGGTCCTCTCTAATGCTCGATTTCTTCTTTTCTGGCAGGTTGATAGCAGGGACTGGGCCCTTAATGGGAATACTCTCTCCCTCGATGAAGAGACAGTCATTGATGTGCCTGAGCCCTACAACCACGTATCCAAGTACTGTGCCTCTTTGGGTCACAAGGCAAATCACTCCTTTACTCCAAACTGCATCTATGATATGTAAGTATGACACTGAGCTGCTGGGTTAAGTCTCCAGTTCAGGCTCCTGGGTCTGAAAAACCAAAAAAAAACCCAAATGCACTGCCGTTGAGTCAGACCCAACTCATTGTGTCCCCTCCTTGGGCTTCCAAGGCAGTATCATTATGGAAGTAGATTGCCCAACCTTCCAACTTAGGAGTGGCTGGTGGGTTTGAATTGCCAGCCTTCTGGTTAGCAGTCAAATGCCTTAGGCACTATGCCACCAGAGCTCTACCCTGGATCTGAAAGAGGCATGTGAAAGGTGTTCATCTCCTCTCAAATCAAGAATGACCTTGAATTTCAGAATGTCCTCAAAGCCTGCTCCACCAAAATAACCAAAAGCAGAGGTGCCACAGGCACAAGTTATGACTTGAAACTCAGAATCTAAACTCCTCCCTCTCTGGCTTTGGCAAGCTAAGAAATGGAAAAGTACTTGCAAGAGTTAAAACGCAATGGAAATACTATGCTTAAGGATTGACACTTTATAGTAGCTTTTCTTTTCCTTCAGTTTTCTCATTATGGAAAATGAAAGGTAGTATTATTTAAAGTAATAGTAAAAATTGAGATTACTCTGCGCATAAAAGCTTTTATGATGTAGAAGGAGAAAAATAAAACCCTAAGCCTGGGAACTCTGGTGGTATAGTGCCTAAGGCATTTGACTGCTAACCAGAAAGCTGGCAGTTCAAAGCCACCAGCCACTCCTCAGAAGGTTGGGCAATCTACTTCTGTAGTGATACTGCCTCGGAAACCCAAGGAAGGGTCGCTGTGAGTCGGGTCCGACTCCATGGCACATAACAACAACAACAAAGCCTAGGATATCAGGTCTTGGTATTGGAAGAGACTTGTGAGGTCGGGGGAAAAAAAAAAAAACCATTGTGGTCCAGGTGATTCCGACTCATAGTGACCCTGTAAGATAGAGTAGAACTGCCCTCTAGGGTTTCCAAGGCTGTAGTGTTTACAGAAGCAGAGCACCACACATTTCTCTTGTGGCACTGCTGGTGGATTTGAACTACCAGTCCTTTGGTTAGCAGCCAAGCACTTAACCATTGTGCCACCAGGGCTCCTTATAAAATCAAATAGTCCCTTTTATTTGGCAATAAAAAGGAATGAAGTTCTGATATGTGCTACAACACAGATGAATCTTAAAAAACATTATTCTAAGTGAAAGAAGTCCGTCACAAAGGACCACACACATGAAATGTCCAGAATAGAGACAAAAAGTATATTAGTGATTGCCAAGTGCTGAGGGGATTGGGGAACAAAGAATGACTGCTAATGAATGACAGGGGTGGGGTTCTTTTATTCAAAAAAAAAAAAAATCTCACTATCATCTAGTCGATTCTGACTCACAGCAGCCCCCATTGGGTTTCTGAGGCTGTAAATTTTTATGGAAGTAGATCACTCCATCTTCTTTTATGGATGATGAAAATGGTCTAAAATAAGATCATGGTGATGGTTTGCACACAACTCTATGAATATACTAAAAACACTGAATTGTACACTTTAAAATCGTGAATTTAGTGATATGTCAAATATATCTCAATAAAGCTATTATTTAAAAAAATCCAATAGTCCTACTGCCTCTCAGAGTTTGAGCCTCCTCTTCCAACTGCTTATTGAACCTCTGCTTGAAAACTTCCTCCAATGGGGAGCTTACTATTACCCATAAAGGCAGCTATTTGGACCAACTGGTTTTTCCCTGTAACATCCAGCCCTTGGCCTTAATTATCTCCTTTACTATGTACTATGTCAACTTCTCTTCTATGTGGAAGCCCTACAGATATTTCAGTGGTTTTCATGTGATCCCTGAATGTTCTTTTCCCAAAGCCAAACATCTCTGGTTTTGTCAACTGTTCCTTAAAGGATATAGTTGGGAGTCTTTGTATCATCATGGTTGCTTTCTTTATTTTACCCTGGGAATGCCATTTCTTCCTGGGAGCCGGTGAGCTGTGGGCAACCTTTTCTGCTCAGTTATAACCTGGGATACCTCAGTCCTCTAACTTCTTAGCATAAATAAGATCAGATCCTGTGCATTTCACCTGCAGAAAAATTACCAGGATTTAGAGATTCCTCCAGTGTCCCTTCTTGCATCCTTGAAATGGTTTGAAAATTATTCTGGCAGCGACTTGCTCTTCTTGGCAGTCAGTAACAAGCACTGAAGCTACAACTGCTGTTTAAAGGGCAGGTAGGAATGGCAAAGGACATGTGTCATGTGAAATGAAACTGACACTGTTACTAACTCCAAGGCTTTCATGGCCAATGTGAATTAGGCCACAGAATCGTGGCAGTCTGCACACAGCTTCATAGCCCTTCAATGTTGTGATAACTAATGATAATAAATGCATCTTTGAGTACTCTCTTTAAGACAGATTAGTTCTTCAATTTCATTACAAGTATGTGAGTTTTCTCATTAAAAAGAAGAGGGTACAGAAGACCAGAGAAGGTACTGTTTGTGCAAAATCAGGTCTGTATTCTGTGGGTTTCTTTTGCAAGCCCAGGGTAACCAAATCTTAACTATTTGGGGGTAATGAGAGAACTGTTTGGATAATAACCAAATATAAAGGTCAGATACCAATTTATGATATCCATTTGTTTCTAAAAATCATTGGTATTGTTATGCACATTTTAACATGTTGTTGTTCTATGCCATTGAGTCGGCCCCGACTCATAGTGACCCCTCCCTGGGTTTCTGAGGCAGTATCACTGCAGAAGTAGATTGCCCAACCTTCCTTCCAAGGAGTGGCTGGTAGGTTTGAACCACCAGCCTTCTGGTTAGCAGTCAAGTGCCTTAGGCACTATGCTACCAGAGCTCCTCATTTTAGCATAAATAAAACAATACTTCTGTAAGCTGTTTTAATTGTAGTCTGGTACCAAATGTCAAAGGTACAAATAGACAAGAATTCCTCTCCTAGCTGTAAATATTGGTAACATGTTGAAAAGGGGCCACTTGGTGCAGAGGTTTGATTTGACTGATTGTAGTACACCTAACATTTACTAAGGAGCTCTGGTAGCGTAGTGCCTAAGGCATTTGACTGCTAACCAGAAGTCTGGTGGTTCAAACCCACCAGCCACTCCTTGGAAGGAAGGTTGGGCAATCTACTTCCGTAGTGATACTGCCTCGGAAACCCAAGGAGGGGTTACTACGCGTCAGGTCTGACTCGACGGCACATAACAACAACATTTACTAAGCACTTACTTTATGTCATAGGATCTCTAGTGGTATAGTGGTGAAAGCATTTGACTGTTAACCTGAAAGTCAGAGGTTTAAGTCCACCAGCCACTCCATGCTCCATGGGAGAAAAATTAGTCAGTCTGCTTCAGTAAAGATTTACAGCCTTGCAAACTCTTAGTGGCAATTCTACATTATCCTGTAGAGTCACTATGAATCTGAATCGACTCTGCAGTAGTGGCTGGGTTACTTTATGGCAGGTGCTGTTCTAAATACTTCTTGAATATTATTCTTGAATATACTGCCTCCCAGTAATTCAGTAAGGCTACTATTACCGCCTCCCATCACAGATGCAGAAATGCAGTCTGGAAGTACCCTTAAACGTCATGCCTTACTACCGCCTTGACCAATCAGCACTTGAAATTGGTTTATTTCTTTTTAGTCTGTCCATTAACTACTCTCTGAAAATAATGATAATGTGCAGGAAAATGACAATACAAGAGGTTCATAAGAGAAGCCTTAGGTCCAGAAAGTCAAGACATTGTTTTCAGTGCATCTAATTGTTGACCAGAGTTCCATTTCAGGAATATTATTTTTTAATGAAATAATTTAGGGACAAAGCTGTGCTTTTAGTAAAGAGCCCTGAATCCCTGGTCCAGAGATCTCCTCTGTAATGGAGCACAATGTGAGACATTCTATCTCTCCCTCTCTCTCTCTCTCTCACACACACACACACACACCCAGTAACAAATATTAGTTGAGCCTTCATTTTGTGCCAGGCACTGTGTTGTTGTTGGCTGTCATTGAGTCTTCCTTGGCTCATGACAACCTCATGCACAATGGAACAAAATGCTGTCTGGTCCTCCACCATTCCCATGATCAGGTATGGATTGCACCATTGTGATCCATAGGGTTTTCAGTGCCTGGTTTTTGGAAGTAGATCACCAGGTCTGTCTTTCTAGTCTATCTCAGTCTGGAAGCTCTGTTTAAACCTGTTTGGCATCATAGTACCATGCAAGCCTCCACAGACAGACAAGTGGTAGCTAAGCATGAAGTGCATTGGCTGGGAATCAAACCCTGGTCTCCTGCATGGAAGGCCAGAATGCCACCACTGAACCAGCACTGCCCCCCTCCCTGGCACTGTGCAAGATTTTATCTATGTGATACCATTTTCTCTTCACAAAGATCCTATAGAACAAGTATTATTAGCTAGTACATCACAGTTTTACAAATGAGGAAAGTAAGATTCAGAAACACTAGGTGGTGACCTTTTCCAAGAAGATGCAATAATAATGAATGGAGCCAAGATTCACACCAAAGTCTTCTGACTGGGTGTGCCTTCCACAAAACGTGACACTGATATAGAGGGGCCATTGAGGCTCGCTTTGTGTGAGGTAGAGGAGTTCCTTTTTACTCCACACAAAGGATGTCCCTAAACCACAGACATATTTCTTCTACCACCATTCATCTAGGAAACCAACCAAGTACTTACTGTCATATCCACATATCAATCTAACTTAGCCTAGAAGCTTCTCCTTCAGTGTTTAAACTGTCCCTGATTCAAAAGGTGACTCATAAATGAATGCGGTTGAATGGGCCACATGCATATAAAAATAGAACTGATTTCTCTCTGGTCAACATATATCTGTTTCAGAAACTATAAGTTGAACTAAGTCTGTTCCTGACTTATCTACTGGTCCTCCTACAGGCGCCTGTATAGGTAAACTGGTTTGGCAGTTGTTGGCATATGAACATAGTCTTTTTTTTTTTTAATTTTGTTATTGTTGAGAATATACACAGCAAAACATACACCAATTCAACAGCTTCTACATGTACAATTTGGTGACATTGATCACATTCTTTGAGTTGTGCAACCATTCTCACCCTCCTTTTCCGAGTTGTTCCTCCCCCATTAACATAAACTCACTGCCCCCCCATCTAACCATTCAAGTTGCTGTTGTCAATTTGATATCCCATATGGATCATTCTTAAAAGAGCACAATGCTCAAGGCAGATGTTTTTCACTAATTAAACTAAACAGTTATTTAGTTTTAAGAAGACTTCAGGGGATATTTTTGGTTTAAGGTTTAAAGATTATCTCAGGGCAGTAGTTTCAGGGATTCACCCAGCCTCTACGGCTCCAGAAAGTCTGGAGTCCATGATAATTTGAATTTCTATTCTACATTTTCCCTCTTTTGATCAGGATTTTTCTGTAGAATCTTGGATCAGAATGATGGACATGGTCTTAGCACAGGCCCTCCTCTGATCTGAGAGGAGTTGTCACTATGATGAGATACTGCGCCCTTCACCATAAAGAAGCAGTTGGCAGAGGAGTCTAGACGTTCCTCTTGCAAGAAAATCTTCATCTGCTTTTATTCTAGAAAATAATACTTCCTCTATATACACAAAGTAGGATATAGGATTTTTGCTTTTTAAAACCCACATCTTAAACTCCAAAAGCCTTCCCCTAGAGGTACAGCCAGGCAATCTGATGCTACAGAGTTGGCCAGATGAGCTGAAATGCTGACAGGCTGCACAAGATTTGATTTCTCATTAAAGACAAATGTTTGCTGTTGATGACAGTTCTTTGATTTATAAATACAGAGTGCCAAATACACTGCAAAAAGAAGAGAACCAGGCACCATTGAGTCACTGGCAACTCGTGGTGACCCTGTGTATGGCAGGATAGAACTGTGCTCTGTAACGGTTTTAATGGCTGATTTTTCACCAGCGATTTCTTCTGAAGCCCCTCTGGGTGAACTCAGACTGCCAAACTTTACATTAGCAGCAAGCATCTCCGAAGGATGCCAAAAGGAAGGTGAAGCAGTGCTTCCTTAGACTTTAATGTCCATATGAATCACTTGAGGGTGTTGTTGAAATGCAGATTCCAAATCAGTAAGTCTAGACCCTTCTATCAAGCTCCCTGAAGTCCCTGTGTGGTGCAAACAGTTAGGAACTCAGATGCTAACTGAAAGATGGGAGGTTCTTGTCCACTTAAACTCACCTCGGAAGAAAGACCAGATAATCTATTTCCAAAAAAACAGCTATTGAAAACCCAATGGAGCACAGTTCTACTTTGACATGGATTACCATGAGACAGGATTGACTCCATTACAACTGATTTTATGGTCTGACACACTCCCTGCAGCTGCTGATCTGTGGACCACACTTTGAGTCCCTCCCAGTGGTATCCAAGGAAGGGCACATGATGGGGATTCTTGTACCCACCCTTGACTAGCCTTTGCTTCTAACCTCCTGACTTGGCCCAGGAGTGACTGTGTACATCTTGATCTTTAGGTTTGTCCACCCCCGTTTTGGACCCATCAAGTGCATCCGCACTCTCCACACTGTGGAGGCCGATGAGGAGCTCACTGTTGCCTATGGATACGACCACAGCCCCCCAGGGAAGAGTGGACCTGAAGCCCCCGAGTGGTACCAGGTGGAGCTGAAGGCCTTTCAAGCCACCCAGCAGAAGTGAAAGGCCCGGTGGCTCTTGGATTCAGAGACCTGGAGTAGAAACTTGGATCTATGCACTACGTTTATCTGACAACGGGACAACCAGGGACTGCTCATGCTGTGACATCACATCCTCTCACCCTGCATTAGCAATGACTTTCTTGCATACTAACTAGGTTAGACTGTATTACTCATACCAGATTTAAAATTAGCTAGCCTTGCAACAACGTCCTACTGAGAGGTAGTGTTGAACATTTGACATAAGACAGCATGATATTCTTTGGTGGTTCAAGTCTAAATCTGTACCACATTCAGAGATGCCAAATGATTAGACTGCAAAAGGGAAATGGGGCTTTTCAGTCATTTTTAGTCAGTGGTTTTTCCATGATGTTTTGTTTTGTTTTTTCCTATTGCCAATGAAAGTTATCTTATTACATTTGCATATGTGCTATATGGAAGGTAGAGAATTACTACATTTTTATATTCTCTCAATGTAGTATAATTTGCCTTTTAACCTTTGATCTGTATCTTGCAATAGAATGGCTTTGTTTTTTTCTCCTAGCCCACTTTTTGACTCATTTCACCCCTTGTTCCTATTCCCTATATTAGATATCTTTTACCAGAGAAAACCTTCCAAATGGATTTTGTGTCCGTGGCAGTGTATAGGTCTCTCTGGCTCTTTCTAGGTCATTGTTTCATTATTATTGTCCTAATATTGAAAAGCTGGCTCATAGGGCCAGAGTATTATTATAGAATTATTATTCTCGCATGTGAACAAAGATATCTTTGCTTTAAGACGTGAGAAGAAAGAAGGTTACTCTGTTTGCATTAAGTTAGGGAAGAGTTGTAATATATATTTTCAGAAAGAAGAGAGGGAAATTAATATTTCTAAGCACTACCTGTGGCAATTTTGCAATATCTTTAATAGTGCTAGTAACTTTTCTCCTTGGGTACACATTAAATGTACATAACATAGAACAGTCTGGCTTGTGCCATAGTGCATTGAATTCAGAAGTCAAATAGCAAACTTGAATTCTAACACAGAATTTTAAAGTTTTTTTTTTAATCAATATTATTAAGGCAGACATGCTGATCACTAGATACAAATCAAACCCAAAAGCTTAAACTCTTCTACATTGTAATTTCACAGCACTTACCTGCTTCAGTGCATTATAAATTAAGAGTAACACCTGTATAGTTTAAAGCAACAATATCAGTAGCATTTCAGCCATTTGCAAGCCATGTGTAATCACAACTGCAGAAATAAGAAAAACCCTGTTTTTAGTTTAGCTAATTAGGTCTGTAACATATTTGGGATAGCTCTGAATGAATTCTGAGATTCTGGGGTTTTTTGTAAGTGCCCTCACCACATGCCAGGGAGCCAAGGTGGTGCAGTGGTTAAGTGCTTGGCTGCAAACTGCAAGGTAGGCTGTTTGAACCCACCAGCCACTCTGTGAGAGAAAGATGTGGCAGTCTGCTTCCATAAAGATTTGCTGCCTTGAAAACTCTCTGAGCAGTTCTACTCTGTCCTGTAGGGTTGCTATGAGTCACAACTGACTTGATGGCCATGAGATTTGGTCAGCGCATGCCATAGCTATGTCTTCTCTAGACGCCTTGATGAAGTAGATGGATAGGTCTGTAGAGTAGCAGTTGGTCCAGCCTACAAGGTGGTACCTGGTGCCTGAATCAGTTTCATGTTGAAAGCTAATGCCTTCCAAAGTGCAGCAGATAATGAGCTCTGGTTGATTAGAGAAGATTTACTGGGAGCAGGTGAAGAGTGAAGACAGGGCAGAGGAAGTTGATTATTTCTTGTTAGTTGCACATTACTCTTAGGAAGAATTTAACAAAAAGTGCTTGATTCAGAGCTGCTCAGATGACTTTCTGTTCAGGAGGACACTGAGTGCAGGGCTCAGCCCTCCCAACAGGGACACAAGTGGCCCTTTGCATGGCAAGACTGCGCTTCCCAGAGTGCCCATCTTCTCAGCACCAGCAGTGCCAAATCTCACAGCCCTGCACATTTTGCAGCCAGGTGGCAGCAGTTTCAGAAGGTCCAGTTAGATCCCTGTTTGAAAGTTTAAAAGGATGGTTCACACATGGGAAGGAATTTCAGGGCTGCCAGAAAGATCTGCCACAAAGGAAACAGTATAGAATTTTTATTTAAAAGTGAATAAATAAACACCAGGATAGGATCGCTTCTATTCTGTAGGCAGATACCGTTCTGTAAGCTAATGGATGGGCAGTTTCTGGAATGGGATTCTGCTAGGTGCTTTAATTCACATGTATCCCAAAGTGAGAGACTGTCATCAGGAGAAAGATAGTTTTAATAAAGCCCAGTCGGTTGGGTGTGGAGCCAGGTCAGGGAGAGGATATTGCAGGTTACGCCTCCGATGCAGCTATGCTCTGAAAGACTTCATTCCTGAGAGTGATAGTGCTCTGGTCGTGGCTGCAGTGCAGTATAATTTCTGTCCTAACTATATTATGCAAAGGAATTCCTAGTTTTCTTTCTAGGAGCTCTGCTGGTGTAGTGGGTAAAGCATTGGATGCTAACCAGGGGATTGGCAGTTCAAACCCACCAGCTGGTCTGCGGGAGAAAGATGAGGCAATCTACTTCTATAAAGATTTACAGCCATGGAAACCCAATTGGAGTAGCTATAAGTCGGGATCGACTGGATGGCAAAGGGTTGCTTTTGTTCTGAAGAGCTGTAAATAGTGATTAACCACCTAATCAATTTTTCAAATTAGCTATTAGATGAGAACATTCTGAGTCAGACAAATCAGAGGGAAAAATATACACCTACGCTAAGCCTCTCTTTCTCCCTAGTCTTCATACTTCCTTGTTTCCTCTGGCTCTTCTTTCTCCTGCCCTATCTCTTCCTCTTTCTCTCTTCCTACATGAGAAAGCCTGGGTGTCCATGTGTAACCACACCCCCAGCTGATCTCTCGCATTCACTTCCCTTTTCTAGCTCCCCATTCTGAGTTCTCTACTCACATATTACTATCTCTGTGCGTCTCTCTGTAGGTACTTTTCCTCTCTATGTATCTCTCTGTTTTCTCTGTGTCCTGTCTGTCCTGCTCTCCCCACCCAACCTCACCTCACATTTACACATTCCCAAATACAAGGTTTTTTCCACAGGGTGGAACGAGAGGGGGCATGAGATTCAGAGCTCTGTATACAGGTAGGAGTCACTGGGTGGTGTAAATGTGTAACACACTAGACTGCTAACTAAGGGAACGGTTGGCTGTTCAAGTCCACCCAGAGGCACCTTGGAAGAAAGGTTGGTGATCTACTTCAGAAAAATCAGCCATTGGGAACCCTATGGAGCACAGTTCTACTCTGCACACATGGGGTCGCCATGAGTTGGACTCGACTAGAAGGTAGCTGGTTTTTCTATGCTCATGTGAGCAAGAATATTGCCCCTTCAAACATGCAACTAGTTTGGTTTAGGTTTTTGGTATGTAGGTAAAGTCAAGCGGGGTTGAGGTTTTGTAAGGAATTAACAGTGAGGAAGTAAACAATGGTAGGGTTTATTCCTTGTTTAAACCAAAGCATGAGGGGAAAGCCTCAGAATGTATTTTTTTACTGAATCTTTAAATCCACTTGGAAGGAAATATGTCAGGAAAGCAGCTGGGTCTGGTAGTTTCATCAGCATGGTAATTACAACAGAAATGTGGATGGTTACATGGGGTGGGGTGTAAAGAAGGAGCTTTAGGCTCTCCCCAGAAGCAGCGGGAGTTCCTGAATGTGCATGACATTGTCATAGCCTCCGGGAGCTTCTCTCAGAGCCATCTCAGTCCAACTCTTGCATGATGATTATCCTTCCTTAGCATCTTTTGTATGATGAAATATTCTCTTGTGTTAGAGTTAGGAATAGGAACTAATCTGTAGGAGTATGTCCCTAAATGGACATTAGAATGGACTAACAAAAACAACTGAAAAGATTGAATTTCCGACACAAAGGAATGATGACATAAAAAGCAAACAGATGAAAAAGACTTGAGGTTTGTAGTACCTATTCTTGTTTTAACCTCCTTCATCCCTGGTCTACCTGGGAAATTAAGAAGGAAATTAGTTTTTCAAGACCTCTTGGAATCTATCTGAGGCAGTAGTTAAACCTACTTGTCCTCTGGGGCTTCTTCACACTTGAAAAACTGTTTCTTTATCACCAACAACCTGAAAAGGCCAACAGTGAAGGCCACGTGTAACCATTTACAACACTTAATTATAACTATTAAAATTGCAGTAACTGGGAACAGTGAAATAAAGGGTTATCTTCTCAGTGAGATAGTATGTGGCACTGTAGTAACTTTCAGTTAGTCTATGAACTTTTAAATCACTCACTGCAAAATGCATCGAAAATCTTCCAAGAAGGTGGAGGTATAGTTTTCTGTTTTGCTTTGTTTTGAAACAGTTGCCTAAAATTTGTCATAGAATAGTGATTCAGAATCTAAAGATCTTTTAAAAGAATGCTTTTTTGTTTTAGAAAAACAAGCAAAAACTATGTTGCAAGACTGATAGTTGTAAAGTTCATTTGCCACAGATCAAAGGTTCACAAAATAGATTAAATTTACATCTACTTCAGGTACCTTGATAGACTGTTTTTTCTTTGAATTTTCCCTTTAGGAATTTGGATCCTCAATGTCTTTTTTTTTTTTTAATTTTAAAAATACTAAATTTTAATAGTTTTATTTTGCCAGATGTGTGCATATTCAAAGCAATGAAACTATTTCAAGCCATACAACCACAGGGGTGGAAACCCTTTTCACAAATTTTAATGTGTTTGTATGTAAATAGATGTTTGTATGAAATATTTTCATGGTAGAATGAATATATTTAAATGAAGTTGAATTACTCCAGTGCTATTTAAACAAATTACAAAAATTTTGGTGAGAATTATCAGAGTCTACTGAGATATAGTGCAGATCAATTTTGATTTTTAGAAATCAAAAAGCCTACAAATAACTCTGACTCGTGGCAACTCCCCTCGTGTTGTTGCATCTGATGCGGAAAGAGCTCGTAGGCTTCCCCAGTGCCTCAGCCGCTTCCTGGTGGGAAGTTAGGTGCTAACGGAGGTGTGTTCACCTTTTAGTGATATCACTGTGGGCCTCTCCAGAGCCCGAGAGTGAATCAGAGGCATTAGAGACACCGGTGCAGTTATCCGGAGCACAATTTCTTTGCAGGGCAGCAGAATCAGAAGCCAGACTTGGCCTTGGAACTGGGCTTCCTGGCCACCATCCACCGCTACCCTTACTGCCTAGTCACACGTGTCAGGGAGGCTGCCCTCAGTGGAGTTGGGGTCAGACCCCAGGGTGGGACTTCACAGTTTTGTCAGCAAGCCCTGCCTCCTTGCCTCCACCTCACAGAGAGGAAGGAGAGCGGAGTAGCTGGCAAGGGGCCCATCTCAGCACAGTACACTTCCTGTCTCAGCTCTGGAAGACTATGCACCTGCGCGCCAAACTTCCAACCAGAGAGAGACGTCCTTGGAACACGAAAACCCCTGCTTCCTCTGTCTGTGACTTAACACACAGTTGTTAGAAGTTGTTTCACTATCAAGACCAATCACATCCCTGGGACATACCTCCCAACTCTCCTGACTCTTATGTTACTGAAAAACTCCTTAATAACAATATTCAACTTGAGTTGTTCTTTTTCTTTGCTTTGGGTCCCAGATATAATGAAATGATAAACTTTATGACAAATTTTCACTGTGTATACTAGCAATATGTACACACATACCAATATATCTTAACATATCTACTCAGTTACATTTTGGGTTACTATAATTGATCCACATTCATTTGTTAGGAAACTACAGGGATGACATAATGCCTGCTTATCATCTGAGAAAATTATGTCCATGGTTCTGAGCTCCCTGCTTCAAAAATTTTTCTGTGTTCTTTTCTTAACCTGAAATGCATTTATTAGGTTGTGAGGTATGTTTAAGGATTGAAAGCCAGGGGGTCAGCTTTCAGCATTGATTGCAACAAAAAGTGAACCCCATCACAGTTAACAAGCATCCTTGATTGGTCTTTTATGGAATTTGAACTAAAACTATGAGCCTTATTCAATATCTGTGATTCTATGATTTTTTTTTAATTATGGGAAATTAATGAAAGATGTTTACATGAATAATGTTTGCCCTTACTGTGTAATGAATGAGTTTTTTTGTAGTGTGTCTGGGTGCATGTGCAAGAGAGTAGGAAAAATGTTTCTGAAACAAAACTTGACAAATATTTGTAATGAAAAG